CAATTTCATCGATGACCAGCACCTCTGCATTAGGTGGTGCATCGATCATATCAACATCTTCTTGTTCGATGGGAGCATCACCTAGGACGTCAGCCATGACCACGTCAGCTATGACTACATGGATGTCCCGAGGCTCTGCCTTCTTGATGGGGCTTAGATAGCATTCTCTCGAGCCTCTTTGGAATGTAGGTAGAGGAGGTGGCCTTGTCCAAGGTTGCTGAGCTTGCTGTTGCCTTTGCCTCGGTTCGGCAAGGCTGATTCTGTCGAAAACACTTCCTGCCCTCCTATGTCTTGGGTCTTGCTCAAATGGAGGTGGGAAATTATCATGGCTCATTTGGACCTCGAAGGGTCGGCTAGAAGCATAGTTGGAGGAAACATCAACTTCCACTTCCCCTTCAAAGGGGCTCTCACCTTGGCCATAGCCTGGTGTAGCAATTCTATGACTTTGGACTTCATCCTCTTGCTGGTAGTACCCTTGGGGGGCATATGGAGGAATGGGGAAGCCTCCCTAACCCTGCATTTGGGCCATAAGCTCCCTCATAGCCAAATTTTAGCTAGCGATATCCCTCATGTTAGCCGCCATGGCGGCCATTTCTCTTGATAATCGTGCCGTCGCACGCATCCCACCTCTTCTTTGGTGGTTGTGGAGTCTCTGTCGAGCTGCTGGGGCAGCAGGCTGGGGATGCGCGTTCGTGTTTTCTCTTACTCTCCTGGCAGGAGTATCTTCATCGGAGCTCATTTTCCTTTGTCCGATTTCAGATTTCTCCAAGTAACGGGGCTTCCTCCTGTTCTCTTCCAAGAACAAATCCTTTTTCAAGTGGGGTTGCCTAAATCCTTTCAGTAAGCTTTTATCACAGGGTTGCTCGTGGTTATGGTATTGTTTCCCACAGACGGTGCCAATCTGTTGACCCCAAAAAGTATTGCCAACAGATGCCGGTCCCACCGCGCACACGTGAGCGAATGTCCAACACGCTAAGACACGTAGACGGTCTAAAATGAGCGGTTCTAAGGGCGTGGGAGTAGCCCAACAACGCTGGACGGTGACGTTAGGAATCCGATGAGTTGTTCATGATCCGATTGTACAATAATTACCAACCGGTGTTCGCAACTGTATATGTAAATGTGTATAAACTCGATTTGTGTATTGTAAGTAAATGAGAGAGTTGAGTAAAGTATAGTTCTTTGTATTGATTCTTGCATTAGCCTTTTGATGTTACACAAGGAAAGTATTTATAGTGATACATGTGAAATGGGAGCCCTTGGATGAGGTGGCACGTGGCCTCATCTCTTTAATTCAAACATCCCATCCTAGGCATGGGGCTTGATTTGCTAGCTTGCTGCGCATTTATTGCTTTGTGCAGGGCCTCCATACTAGTGACGAGACTTGACCTTTATGCTTATGATAAACATTCCATCAATCATTCGAATAAGATCTTTATGCAGACGATCTCTTGGGAGAAGTGAACATGGAGGACACTCTTTCGTGGTTCGGAGGCTCCTGCGTCTGCTTCGCGGCTTCGGCCATTTCACACGATACTCCCGCTTGAGGGCTTCAACTATCTTCAACTGGCTTCAGCATCTTGGCTTCGGTTCATGGGTTTCGGCATGTGGACCTCAGGTACGTTTACAGGCCTCAGTAAAAAGGAGCCTCGACTAGTGGATTTCGGCTTGAAGGCCTCAGAGCATCCCACCTCGGTAATCTATGCCACCTTGGCTAGAATGCCACGTGGATCGCTTTGAGTGGGCCATAATGGCCCAGGTGAATTGGCCAAGTATGACCACACACAACAGTAAGTAAAACTTGGGGTGGTAATATAATTACCTTATTTGGATAGGGGCTATAGTATGATTAAATCGGAACAGATCGGCTGGTATGATAGAAATCGATGAATCGGATTGTCGTTCGGTCCGATTGGTACATTTGAATTAATAAAGAGTGAAATGCTTTCGACCCTTCCAAATCGGACGGCTTTTACCAAATCGCCCAGTTTGTGATATGTAAGAGTCGACGGTTTGTGATAAGAAGATTTTATTATATTTTTAATATTATGTAATTTACTATTGACATATGTAAAATTATATCACTCTAAATTCATCCAATAATATTTATTTTCATTAAAAAATTTTAAAGAAAATTGTTGGGGTCTTCAATTTTTTTTCTTTGCAAAAATACAACGTCAATACCCCACCACCATTCCATGTTGGCTAACTTTTAAAGTTCGTATCAAGTTTGAAAATTTCATGTTGGATCCTATTATACCCCTTTAGCTCTCAGTAGCTAGCACCCAGTGAGTCAAGGCGGCCTACTGTGCTAGCTCCATCGGAACTTAAGTGTCTTCATTTTGATCCTGCTGTGGACTCTGGAGAAACTGAACATTTAGATTTCTTAATAACCCAATCACCAAAAGGGATGAAAACAATTGGCATTGGCATATATTTTACAACTCTGCATTTTGATTCTTTCTCAGTGGCCATTTGGACCTCCATTGTGGCCTAGAATTCATCTTTCTAGGTGATCAGTCACTCCACGAAGACGGTCATGAGTACGTTTTCCTACTTTCCCCAGCATCTGGACAGTTAAAATTGCCTGTGTGTAAAATTAATCATACAGATTTGAAGACTGTTCTAAACCTCAAAATTGAAATTTCCAATAAACTCATATGAACATAAACACGAAAAATTAAATCCAACCACATAATCAACTTATACAAATTTCACAGATACCCATACGAGGAATGCCCTTATAAACAATCAATTTCATGACTAGTCTTGGAACATATATAATAACCATTATTCAAAATCATTTGTTTTTTGTTTTCCCTTCGAAAACCCTCGATTCCATTGTTAAGAAAGCGACAACATATGGTGGAAGAAGTGGCAGGGCTAAAAAATAAGATACAAAAAAACAGTAGATAGATATATGAAAATGGTGTGGATGTATAGATATGTCAAAAAAAAAATTGTATAGATATATAAAAGAGTATGTCTATTCGTAGTCGCTCACTACGACAATAATTTTATGTAGCATACACATGACAAGTGATTATTTGATGTACTAATGTGGTAGTTTTATTGACTCGTGCGTCAAAGAATCACATGCCATGTGTACGGCATATCGAGCAGCTGTGCCGTAGTAGACGACTGTGAATAACATTATTCTATATAAAAATGGTGTGATGTGCAATGTTTGAATGAATTAATGTAATAAGGATAATATTGAAATGCGGTGTGGATGTGAATATTATATTTTTAAAAATTTTAGAATTTTAATACAGATAAATATAAAGTGAAATAGATATATAACGTCTGTGGATATAAATAGCAGCTCCCTTAAAATGCAATGATCTAGTTTTTTATTGACAAATCCAGTGCCACTTATAACTTTTGGTTCAAATAATATATTTACTTCTTAATATTAATTTTATAATTGTTGTTAACGGAACATTATGATGAAGTTTTATTAAACAAAAATGTTGTTTGTACAGCATTTTTTTTATAGCAATTTTCACCCTTTCTCACAAAGGTGTGGTCCACGATTATTTTAATCATGGACCCCACCCACTTGCATGTATGCGCTATGAAAAAAAGTGTAAAAAGTGATGTACTTATATAATGGTTCTTTATTAAAAGCTTGAGGATAAGATGTCAACAATAACATACTTCTACTCGCATTATGGGTCTGGGATTCTAAAAATGATGATGGCTGAGAGTGATTCTTTTTTTTGGCTAAAGGAAACATAGCAAAAATAGAGATTTATGTATATAATATCATACCGGTGCAATGGTATTAAGAACGCAATAGTATGTCCAAACGCATTTCATGGAGCGTTTTCATTCCACGTGTTGAAGAACGTAAAAACAAAATATTGTAAGAAAAGGAAAAACATAACAATATCATTCAGTGCAATGACCAACACGTACACAATAAGTGATTTCGAATATCATAAGAAGTAATTGGACAACATCAACAAAGACAAATGAAAGTACCTGGTGTATGTATTGTATTAATAATCTAGGGCATTTTCAAGAACGTTCAATTTTAAGGGTATGAGTTGAAAGGTGTCCACTCATTTGAATTTAGTGTCAACTTGTCTATTATGTCCTTAATGAAAAGTTACATTTTAAAATAGTATCTCGACATTTTAAATGTCGTACTTGACATTTGATTTTTTTATCAATTTGTCACGAATTTTGAGAAGTGATTTTCATGAGAAATTACATTAAAATAATGTTTCTCGATATTTCATATGTCATTCTCGACATTTGAACACCGTTTCATTTGTCTAAAATGACATTTCATTTTCAATATGACATTTCTCTACATTTAAAAATGTCTTTCTCGATATTTCTAAATCAATGAAAAACATAACATTTATTGTAATATGACATGTATACTTTTTAAAATAAATATGGCATGTTATGTGTCAAAATTTTATTAGTCAATAACAATATTGCAAAAATGTCCATTTTTTTTTTTGTCTTGGTGTGGAATTATAAATTGTTAATAACGATATTTTGGTCTAAATTTTTCAAAATTAGACATTTTTGCAATGGTGGACATTTTTGCAAATGACTAGATAAAAATGAACATTTTGTAAAATTTCCTCTAATAATGCTAATATGACATCGAATTTTTTTAAAAATATGTAACATGTCAAATTCTTATCAACCCAAGACAAGAGAGTTGGTCACAATCCATAGAATTCATTGAAGATTCTCTTAAATGTGTGGATGAAACCCAATTTATTGGTTTCATCATTTAATGTCACATCACATCACATTTGGGGATGATTCTCACTGTGGTCATGGCATTACTCGATCAGAAAGCTCAATATCACCTAGACCAATTGGGATCACCGCTTTTAATGAATTGCAATACTCAAAATGAAGCTCAAGGAACTACTAGGATATCAAAATGAGAGAGCCATGGTTGGCCTTTTTATGAGCTTTGAGACCTAGTCATGTACATTATGGTCCATACAATTTGTGAGTTCCAGAGCTTATAAAAAATCATTTCCCAAACATGCTCATAATCTTATTCCAAACATTCATTTGAGGCAAACAGGATAAACATTAAATTACATTTCATAATTTGCAACAAAAAGCTGCAAGCAAAAACAGTTTTGTTGTCTCTCACTTTAGGAGTATTTGCAGATTAAACCACATGTACTTCAGAACAGACTGATGTCAAATTATGCTGCTACTTATAAGTCTCTCACGACCCGGATACCTCAGTCATCTCCTGTTCCACAGACGCAGGCTCCACAGGATAGTACATATAGTGTAATTCTCCAACATCGTCACCTGATAGCTTTTTCCATCCATTTGGTCCAACGTGATAAACTGAAAAACACACCCTCAATGTCATGAGTTATTACCACAACCAAATAGATGCAACGAGAAAAAAGAAGGGTAAAGGATGGGTGGGTAGGTAGGTAGGAAAAACAATGTGGCATGGGGTCGGGTGCATTACCGCTGGCAACACCACCACTGGCTCCATCACGGAAAGTTGCATGATAAATCGCACGTCTAGCCAGCTCAGCACCTTCTTCAACAGACATATCAAAACGGTATCTAAAGGATTTAAAAATTTGCAAAAACTATCAGAATATATGAAAACATCAAGTTTCTCCAGATGCACGACAAACATTGATGAATTGATTAAATTAAATGAATATAAAGGGTGGAATAAGATTTATAGAAAAGTATGAATGAATTTATCTCCAAGAGAGTGATGTATTTAGCGTGTAAGCAAGTGCCAGGGCAACAAGTTAATGTGATTCACTTAATCACAGGAAAAACATCAAGCTTTTTTAACCTAGTTACTGTATTATATATGCAATAGCAGCCCCTGTTTGACTCTCTCTAAATTAATTGTTCATATTCATTTTCAACCACACATTCACACAATAAAATATTATGCACATAAATCCAAAACTTTTCTTTACCGCACATTCCCCGAAAATCACAATCCAAAACATTATTTTCCCTCAATTTCTCTTTATAATGGCGGTGATAATTTAATCCACCAGATGATTCCAGTAGCCCCACAAGATTTTTATGGCACATTTGTTTAATAAGTCCCATTATTTAGCAAGAATCTATAGTTTAGTGCTTATTAACAAATGATCGGGTGATTGAATTTTTCCAGTGGAAATAAAAGATACAATACCTTGGCTGCACCAAGCACCAAAATAAAATAGCTTAAAAAGGCACACCCTAAAACTTGGGTGGGGTAACAAACTAAAGAAAAACTGGCAATATGAAGAACATTAGAAAAGGACAGGAGATGAAGGACATACCCACTGTCCAAAACGCCATAAGCATATGGCGAACCAGATCCAACAGAGAATCTAGTTCCCTTAAGCCGTCCTCCTTCACTGTCCACATAATAAAGGCCAGGACCCTACACGAAATACAAATAGCAAATACATAACACGAAGCCAAACAATGTTACACCAATGGCATGCCAAATTTCTCCTTTTTACCGTTTCATCCCAGCCAGCTATCATAGTTCCAACAGACAAACCCATTCCTCGGTAAGAATACAGAATGTTTGACAGCAACTTTGAAGCTCCAGTCACAGAAATCCTTCTCTTATTTGCCAATTCATGTAAACGGCACTGGAGCATGCATCATGATACATTCATTAGTGCAATTATAGCAGCATATATATAGACACAAACTTTTGCATTCCATACCTGGAAACTCAACAGTATTCATAATAAACAGATGCTGTAAACCTAAGTAGTATGTAGCATTACCAAAATCTAAATAAACTAATGCTCCACCTTTCACCTTTCTTCATTTCCCTTCTTCTATGTTCAACACTTGACAGCTAAAAGATGCATTACAAATTTAAACTTAATAAACCAAAAGGATAATGTCTACAGCATAAGGACAACTCTACATTCACGTCATAGGACTTCAATGCTAAAGGAATTATAGTCATGAGAGATAAAATTGCCTTAGCCCTTTTTTGGTTTTGATAAAAATAAGATTTCCAGTAGATATTGATAAAAGTTGATAAAATGTGGAAAAATGAGTTTAGGAAATAGGGGCCAAACGGGGGCTTAATCTGGAAATGCTAACCTATACTCCATTAGGCCAACTAGGGCAATGACCCAAGTCATGCGCCTTCCGATTGAATGACTACGATAAAAAATTTAAATGAAGATTAGAGGCAATAATGCAATTGAAATACCTTAATTCCCAGATTTCTATGCCAGAATTGGCAGTCAGCAGCTCCTCCAGCCATTGTGCCAAGCATGTAAGGATTGATTTCAATGATTTTCTTGACAGTTTGTGATGCTGCCAAATGCCAATTAATATGAATAAGGTAAAGGTATTATGACTTGGAAATCCAAATTAAAAAAAAATATTATTTAAAATTCCACAAGTTATAAGATACAGCATGATACTGTATCCTGAAAAGAACAGAATGCCAAAATGACTGAGCTTTGTTAATTGAACTTACACCTTATTTACCTTGTTTTGTAAACCAAAGAAAAAATTACTATATCGATACTTGAAACTCAGATTCACAATATAACTGAATGCCAATTACAACTCTCCCAAGGATAGAATTGAACATCAACTTATGCAGCCATAGTCTATCAAACCTGACCTACTAGTTAATATTCTTTAATGCAAGGAAATATGTAAGTATTATAATATTAGATTTCTTATTTTAAGTTACAGTTTACTCTTTGAGATAGAAAAAGAACTAAAAAGTTACTCATCAAGATCCAGGAAAATAGGATTTTCTCCTCTCCAAACTGTTTTATTGCGACTTTCATCATCAAATCTAGTAACTTCAATCCAAAATGTCCCTCTTTCATGTGCTCAAGATTTATCGAGTAGCAAAAATAGATTCTAAATAGCACACCTAATATCTATAATGTTCCGTTCATAGATATCGAGTTGCTTAAAAAATAGCCCTAAGCCGAGAATAATACCATGGTCAAAGCAAAAAAAAAATCTAGTTTACTCTAGAGTCTAAACCAGCTGTGTGGTCATTTTAATAGTTATACTAAATCAGCCATTTCCATATCCATGGCACTAGATGGAGCAGGCACAAATACTAGCAGCTATCCATAACAATAGTATTAACTAATAGCCGTAATATCACATATAAACAAATCAAGAAAAACATATCATGCATAAAGAAAGAAGAATCAGACACCCAAACATGTTCATGAGAATAGAACGCGAGACAAATAGCTGATTACATCATAGATGTGTTATTTTGCACGTCTCCGAGCCTACACTAAGTGAAAAATGTTTCACTGCTGATTTAGACTCTTGTCAATACTACTAGCCTGGTCAATGCTACTAAGCTAAGAAATGCATAATTATATATGTAGAAAAATTCTCATTACATTTTGGATTCCTTTGAACTATCATACTAATGCATCACTCGATGTGGTACTATCAAATAACAAAATTTAATACTCGGTAGATAAATATAGAAAGCTCACATATATATCCTCCCATGCTGGCACGGGAATCAGCAGCCACCATGACACCTTCCTTAAATATAAAGGCAAGAGTTGTGGTTCCCTTTGCTGGCTTCACCATCCGTACTGCTTCTCTCTGAAACCCATCAAACTAAAACAGCCCAAAAATAAAAGCCAAAAAGTTACAACAAGAGCACAACACCAGAAAGTAACTACTATTATTTCATCAAAACACAAAAAGAAGAAAAATCACATCAGCAGCAATAGGAAGTTCAAATTTCTGTCCAGACGAAATCTCATTGCACAATGCATCCGTGTTGCCACGAAGTGGGGCTGAGGCCGCGAGCCCACTAAAATCAATCTTCATCATTTCCCTAAAAATCAATCAACGTACCCAAATTTAAACAAATATACTTTGTAAGCACAAAACCATAAAATAATTCTTTAGAATTTTAAAAAACAATAGCTAGAAAATTAGAGATAATATACAAAATTACAACAAATATGTAGTATTACATCAAAAGAGATGAGCATAAACCCTAATCTCTTAATTACATAGCGATAAACAATTTAAATTTCGTGGCATCCAAATATAAAGACCCTTTTTACCTCTTTTTCGTCGAATTATAGCAGAGAAATTGTGACTGTGAAGAAATAACAGAAAAAACGTTAAAATAGTGAAGATTGGAAATGATTTCTTACACTGCAATACATACAGGGATCAAGCTTTTCTTTGGACCCTAGAAAATTTTGACCCGAACCGAATTTAGACAGGAGGAGCCTTCAGTTTGTAGACACACAGTATATAGGGGCTGCATCTATTGGGCTTAATATTGGGCTATCAATTAAGTACATGTACTTCGCCAAACTAATAGAAAATGTGAGCAGGACGAATCCATTGTAAAATTAAATAACAATGGGAAAAGTGGAAATTACGGTTATCCCTAGTTTTCAAATCCCTAATTCGAAGTTAAGATTTCAAGTTTTTCAATTCAAAAATCAGAAAATCTTGTTTGAGCCACATTATATTCCTAAGAATGCATTTTTAAATAGTGTATTGATGAAAAATGTGTGGTTAAAAAATAAAGAAAAGTATTGAATTTGCGTGTAATATTATTTTATTGAAAAATGTGTGATTGAAATAATATCAAATCACTGTTTAAGAATGTATTTTTTTGAAAAAAATAGGACTCAAACATAGCCAATAATACCTTGTTTTAAATATTAATAATAAAGTCATATAATTTAAAAAAAAATCCACAACCCACGCCCACATAGCCCTAAAATTCTGTCTCTTTCACTCCCTCATCTTCCTCTCATCCCATTCTTCGGCGAAAGGACCACCTTGTGACGACACTGATTCGTCATCACAAGGTGCTTCTGCTACTCGTCCTACACTTCTTCTTCTTGGAGTCATCTTTACAAAAGGCATAAGTTGTTTTTAGGGATTTTTTTTTTTTTTTTGTGTCTGTAGCATCGTCGCACCACCCCTGGTGGTTGTGGTGTGGTGGACTTGTCGAGGTGTGGTGAATTTATAGTTGTGGTGTGGTGGATTTGCAAAGATTTGGTAGCTGGTCTGCTGTGGATTTTTGTGGAGGTCGTGTTGGCGATGACTAGTTTGGTGATTGATTTGCTGTGGATTTTTGGAGGTCATGTTGGTATGGGCTGGTTTGATGGTTGGTCTGCTGTGGATTTGTGGTTGTGGTTGTGGTGGTAATGTTGGTGGTGGTGCTACTATGATGTTGTGGCTGTAGCGGTGGTGGTTATAGCACAATGATTTCGGTGACATTTCAGCTGATGATAGTGGTAAGGTGGTGGTCATAAGTGATTTTGTTGACTGTAACCATTAAATTGGTTAATCCGTGACCAATAAAAATGATAAATTGTGACAAAAAATAATGTTGACCTAAAAGTTTGTTAATTTTTTACGATGATTTGATAATTTGTGACTTATAATATTTGTGATTTGTGATTAATAAATAAATCGTGACTTATAAATTTTTAATTCGTGATTGATAAATAAATTGTAATTTATAAAAATTTTTAATTGTGACCATAAAATAATAAGTGACTAACTAAATCGTTAAATTGTAACCAAATTGTATAGATTTGTAATCTAAATGTATTTATTGATAAATTAATTAAATCATAAACAAAAATTAATAAAAATTCAATTTTTGAAGTTTGAAACTTATTTTCTTGATTTTAAAATATGTGATATTTAAGCTCTTATTCATAAATTTTTTCCGTGGGAAAAATACATAATTATCATGTTGAAAGATACACTTTCAAATTCAAAAAAATGTGTGAATTTCTTTCAAAAATCAGATTATCACATTTGGGTTCATCTAATAAAAATTTTGTGACTCATTTAGTAATTAAATAAGATAGGTTACAATAACATGCAATTTATGGTTACAATTAAGTATTGGCCACAAATCACACAACGTCACAATTATAAAAATATAAAATATTGAATATATTACACATTTAGTCACAAATTATAATTTTTATGGGTCACAACTTAGAGGGTGTTTGATGAGAATTAAAATTAAATTTTTTAGTAGACTTTGAGAGAAGTTTTTGAAACGTGTAGTTAAAAAGTTGTGAAACCCTTAAAAGATGTAGTTAATATTGATTGTTTGATTTTGACTTAAATTAAAATTAGATTTTAATCCAAAACAAACAAAGAATTAATAATCAATCTCAAATTATCAAATTAACTTTCCACAACTTACTTATTGATCAAAATTTATCCAATTAACTTGTCATAAATTATTCTTCATCTTCCTCACCTCACCCCACTCCACCACCATTAACACCACCCAAATGGCCGCCTCAGCCTCAAATCCACAACGTCACCACCACCATCACCTCCAACGCACCAGTACATGCACTTCATCCCATTGCATCCAAATCGTGGAAATGGATTACATCGGGAATGAAATTAATTCATCATCTCCTTTTCTACCTTCGACCGACTTCACGTCACAAATTAGGGGCCTCAACAACCCCTAAACTTATTCAGCTCTAGCCAAAGCTTCATCTTGTCACCTAAATCGCCTAAAACGGATTACACCGATAAAGGAATCATGCCATCATCTCCCTCCTTAACTTTGATCAAGCTCATGACACAAAATTGTGGGTTGAGCAGCCCCTGTAACCATTCAATTGATGGCACCCCCAGGTTAAAACCCACGTGGCATCATCGAAATAAGGGCTTGCTTGAGCCCCATTATTTCCTAATAATGTATTGTAATAGATTGATAGAGAACATGTAGTTAAAAATAGTAAAAATTTTTGAATTTATGTGTAATATTATTTTATTAAAGAATGTGTGGTTGAAGAGAAAGGAGAAAAATATATTTTAAAAAGAATGGGGATCAAACAAGGGCTAAAACATTTTTCTACCATCTAAATCATCAAAATTGAACTTTACTAGCGATGAAATTACTTTGAAATCTCCCTCCCTACCTACCTTCGATCTGCCTCACGCTACAAAATTGGGAGCCTTAACAGCCCTTAAACAAATTGGCGGCAACCCTTGGTGGAAACCTAAGCGTCATCCCATCCAAAGCTTCTTCACGCCATCCAAATCCCTTGAAATGGACTACACCGACAAAGGAATCATTCCATCAATTCCCTCCTTACCTTTGATCAAGCTCAAAGCACAATTTAGGGGTTGAGCAGCCAATAAAATCATTCAAGTAATGTGAAAATGGGGTTTAGGGTTATGGCGTCTACAGGTGGCATAGTGATGAGCGATGGTGGTGGTGGTAGATGATGATGGATTTGGTGTTGGCCGACAGTGATGATGGTGGATAGTGGATGTGAATTGTGATTTGGGGAAAATGGATAAAAGTCCCCGTATCACCTCACCCTACCTATCCTTTTGGGGTAGTATATACCTAACGATTCCGCTATGCGTACACTTCGTTTGACATGGTGCATGATAGGGTGATGTGGCTGGTTCAAAAAGTTTGAAAAATGAATGCAGTGTGGTGAATGAAAAGAAAAGGAAAATCATAAAAGAAAAGAAATGGTGTCGGGTTATAAATTCAAAATTGGGTCATTCTTCATTAGAGAAACCTAAGTGGTGCTTCCCCAAATTCAACCACTGCTCACCGACACCTTGCTCAGGCGGTGCCTTCATTGCTTTTCGTCAACCAAGTGGTTGTTGACCTCCATCTTCGAAATCGAAGCTGCTTTCCCCGAATTGAAACACCTCTACGGCGGAACCGAAGCTGCTTCCCCTGATTTCAAACACCACTGACCGACGCCTTGCTCTTGCTACGATTCTGAGATGTCGACCAAGTACGACCTCTACTAGGGCAGAATCTATAGCAAAATTTGGGTAAGTTCTCTGTTTTGGTAAATTGGGTGTGTTAATGGGGTTTGGAGGGCTTGAAGCCTTTATTTCGAATCAATTTTGATGGTTGTACATTGCCTCATTAGACTCCAGAGTTGTTTGACAAATTCAATTTGAAGTTAACTCTCGTGTGTGTTCAAAGTAAACATTTTGAAAAATATTAAATATCAACATGTTTAAGAAGGTGCGAATTTTCTAAGACTTCCAACACGCTCATAATCTGTAGTGAAAATCAACATTTGAAATGCTCATAATCTGTAGTGGAAATCAACAGTCATAAACGAATCTTCTGAGACTTCAAAAACACTCATAATCTATCCATCAACAGGTTGAAAAGCCCCAAAAAAATTCATTGAATTTGTAGTGAAAATCCTAAAACATGTTGGACATTGCTGAGTATTTTTGTTGTGAGACAATATGTAACATTTTACAATTTGATTGCTTGTACATTAACCCTTACCCAAACTGGTCGAGCTATTAGTTTGTAGAACTCGGTGCATTGTGTTGATTTATAGTCATGTGGTTGGTTTACATTTCAGAATGGCAGGAAAAAATCACGAAGTGTGTCACAGCTACAGGTGTAAGGGCCACTTCTTTGTCGATTGCCCAAAGAAACACCTATGCCCATGGTGTAAGCGTGCATTCGTCAAGTGTTTTGAGGTGGAAAAAGAGACTAAGAAAAAAGGGAAGTTGTTCAACTACTACGGTGGCAAATGCGAATTTTGGGAATGGGTTGGAGAAGGTAAATTGAGTTGTGAGTCAAGTGTTGAAACTGAAACGTCAACTAATGTTGCAACGAAGGAATTAGTTGTAGATGCCACTGGCATGTTCAAATCCAAACTTCGTTTAAGCAACGAACAAGAATTAAAATTTTCTGTGAACATGACCATTCGCAAGAACAAAGCAAGTGTGGAGGTCGATAACAAATGAAGCCCCAGGCTTGAGTATTCCGTGTTTGTGGTACTTGTTACGTAACTTTTGAGGACATTGCACTTTTATAGTGCTAACTTTGTTGGAATGAAAAAATATTGTCGATATCTTAATTCTGGTTTGCGTTAACTGCGAATGGATTTTAGATTTTTATGTTTTAGGTGGTAGTGTCATTAAGTTTAGGGTTTAGGGATAATGGAACTTTTAGAAGCTAGGAAGCGTAGAAGTATGTATTATATATTGATAAGTTATCAGAATGGTTTATTATTCTCACTTGGTGATTATTCTTGTTTCCGTTAATGTTCTATTTCTCAAGCTAATTAATGTTAAGAGTTTGACCACTTCTTTCCGTCATTATTCTTCTTTCATGTATGATTTCAACCGATTCTTTTGGTGGAAGTTGTCTCAATATCACAGCTTCATATATATTCTTTTAATCTTCCAACAACCTGCAATTAACGTATTATTTGGACAGTCAAATTTTTCTGAAACAAAATCCCACCGAAATTGTATGTGACATCGACTAAATCGGCTTGACAAAAGTGTTCAATGCAACTGGACTCAGCAACTATTGGTTTCCAGATGCCTAAATTGTCTAAAAATGGTCTCAGCAACTATTGCTTTCCATCTGCCATATTCACAAATCTATTGTCAGTGATAAACTAACATTAGTACACAGCTGAAATGCAAGATATGTTGCTCATTAAACCTTTAAAGAGACATCATTACCAAAGATCTCAATAGCTAAAATATACACCATAATGTAACTAGTAAGGTAGACGACAAATGTCAATGTACAAGGCTTTTACAAAATATTCCAGAAATTGTTTAGTATGGATTGCAAGAATTTGATTTGAACTCCAAAGCCAGTCTATAGTAGAAGAAACTTTGTCTCGGGTCATGTTCAACACTTGAGCTATTTCCCTGTCAGCAAACATATTTACCATTACAGTAAACTACAAAACAAAAAATTTAATTTACATTCGAGCTCTTTTCGTAAAGAACAAACATATACCCGATTCCAGTGGCTCTTTTTGTCATCAACTACCCCATGTTTGTTCCATCTTGGTCTAGTAGAAGTTGATAGAAATTTGGCAACATACTTAACTCTGCCAAATATGAACATTACATATGAACATAATAATATCTCAAATACGAAGTACATCGACTAAATCATTACATTATCTTGAGAAGTGACTGTAACATTTGTTGACGATGGTGGAATGAAGGCTGGATATTGCACCGGTTGTATAAATGCATAACGTCCATCATGTACCTACAAGAATTAGATTCAATATGAGCGGTGAATTAGATTCAAATGTATTGCACCAGTCAGTAAATTGCACAAAACAATGGGAAATTTGAATTTAGTAATGGTGGCGAAATGTGATATTGTGGAAGCACAGGTCCCGGAACAACTGGTGCAGTAATCCCCAGGTTACTTTGACGCGCCTGAGGTCTCTTTGCTTTAGCTGAGCTCAACTTTGCCCAGATGTTTTGCACACCTGAGGTATCTATCTTAATATAAAGCAAATGCATAAAAATAATAAAAAAGAATAGCAACATACTTTCCCTTTCTTCGAACTAGATTCCAGTGGGCTCTTCTTTCGTAGTTTCTTAGGCGCACCCTTCCTCGTCGTAATTTGAGGATCTCTTATGCTCCCGACCCCAGTACTATGGGATGCTCTATAATCAGATCCTATTTGAAGCAAATGCTGGGATAAGACATTACTTCCACAACTTGACATTAGCGTCGTCATCGTTTGTTTTTTATCTTCAATCCACTCCATTGCCAATGTCTACTCATCATCATCTGCCACCATGTCCGCAAGCGTACTAAAAGATTGACATACTTTGTCGTAATTCAGTTGTGCAGGGGTGCTCGTCAACCCATCATAGTTCACCGCGACCCTTGTGTGGGCTCTTCGCACATCTCTTCTCCATCTCCGTAATATATACTTGTCCGGCAAATATGTGATGTCATTACGGATCATGATTGAAATAGCATGTCTGCAAAGTATTCCACGAAATTCAAATAGATGGCAGCTACAAGTAATTTCATAGTTGTCTCTTTGATACGTGATGAAAGATGTTTTTTTCTTCCTTTGCTCATGACACATTACATCCTCTCGTACCTCATACAGAGTCCCCGAACATCCCTTTGAGGTAGAAATTAGGTCACAGTACACCTTCTCGATAAACTCTTGTTGCACTCCCCTAAATTTGGAGATTGTGTAAACATCCTGAAACTGATTCTCCATTTCATAAGTTGTTGAGCATGGTAACATGTGGGAGAATGATTTGAAATCGGCCTGAAATTCCTTCTCAACTTTATCTCTCAATGCTCGCTCGTATTTTCAACAAATTGCTTAAGCGAGGTCTTCGAATGAACATAGCCATCAAAAAATGCATTCATGCTTTCAATGCGTTGGGTTGTTGACATTCCTGCCCAAAAGTAGTTTTCAAATAGCACGGAACCCACTTACCTATGTACCCATACAGCCTACACAACCATTCATTATCATGCAAATTATAGGTTTTTATCATCACTTTCTAACATTCTTCAAAGTCCTCAATAGTTTGAGAATCATAAACCAATGCATAGATGGCAGAAAATATAAATCCCTTATCCGCATGGTATCCAAACTTCTCGGGCAACTTCTTCATGACGTGCCACAAACACCACCGATGTTTCGTATTTGGAAACACAATCTCGATTGCATTTTGGATCGCCCTATCTTGGTCGGTAATTATTCCATGGGGTGCTTGACCATGCATACACTATAGCCACGTCCGAAAAAGCCATATAAAGGTATCTGTATTTTCGTTTGATATCAAATCACAACCAAGCAACGTTGACTGCCCATGATGATTCACTCCAACGAAAGGGGCAAATGGCATGTCATACTTGTTAGTAAGGTATGTCGTATCGAATATGACAACATCGCCAAACTCCTTATACGCTTGCCTACACCTATTATCCGCCCAAAAACATTCTTTGGTCGGGACTCCTCGTCCAAATCCATACTAAAGTAAAACCTCGGACACTTAGCTTGCATATTTGAAAAGTAGGATTGGATTGTTGCAGCGTCTTCTTCACCAAGTCTTAAATGCCGCACTTGTTCAACATCATTCCTACAATCTTTTTCCAAGCAAGTCATGTTCTTATGCCTACCTGCTTCAACGATTGTAGAGTTATAACTTTTGTGCAAAGGAATGTCAGCCATGTCATTCACTTCAAGTTGTCGTTTCACATGTGCGCTCAATTCTCGGTTGCATCTGTACAACCTAGATTTTGTAGGACTTGTTTTATGATTATGTTCAAGATGGACAGTGTATATTCTCCAAATTCCACACATATCTGAAGATGCAGTCAGCCTAGCCTTACAACCTGTCTGGATCGTTGGTTATGGCTTCAAGGAACAACTTGTATTATTTGTTCTGCGACCTTTACGACTACATGTCAATGTAATATACCTTATAATCCCATCATCATCCTTTTTTGAACTTCGAACTCGAACCGGAAAACGTACAGCGTAGGCATATCTTTTATAAAAATCGAACATCTCATTTTTATCCTTGAACTTCATCCCAACCTCAGGCACAATCGGTCCATCTACCCCCGCTATATCATCATCTAATATGTTCGAATTGTCCATCACGTTGTCATTATCGGATTCCGACAAAGTTCCATCACCAACATCGTTCACAATTTGTTTCTCTGCAACAAGTTATAAATTCAAGTGTCTTAAGCTCTTTCACAAAAATCATTCCGACTTTATAAACCATAAAGATTCACAGTTAAACACAACATTTTAGCCACATCTTCGCAACACGAATCTTCCACATTACAACATACCGTAATCGAAACTTTTAGTACATTTTCGAAACACAGTCCTCCACATTACAGTTAGGAATACTTAGTTAGAGGTCTTGAAGTTGGCTTTTAATAATGCAGAAGCTAGTTCTTCGTATACTCAATTCTCAAAATTTTCATGCAGTTTGGAATATCTGGTGCTTTGGAAACTCTGTGTGGATAGGCATATGGAGCAGAGCAATATCAAAGAGTTGGAACAAGATATTGATATTGATAGGCCAAGACCCTTTAACCTTAACGTGGCTCATCCCTTCACTGTTTCCTTACGCTATTTCCATTTCTGTTAGGGGCATTTATCTAAAGAGCACAGTAGTCTGGTTGTCAAATACCAAGAATCAGATTATGTAAATGCTAGACTTGGGCATGGCCAAATTGTGTAAATACATAGAATAACTGAAAAATAGCAAAGAACATTTTGTCAGAAGGAAATAATACCTTTTTCCATCACGATGTCGACAAAGTGGAGTCGGTTGGGTCTGATTAAATCAAGGTCTTGCAGCTCAGTTTTCGGTGTGGTGAGATGATTTAGGGGCTCTAGATTATGAGTGAAAGGAAATTAGGGAAAACTAGTATTATAAGTTTAGTGTGGCGAGACATGTCGATGTGTGCCAGTTCTGATGCCGACGATGTTGAGAGATCGTCACTCCAGTGTTGTTGCTCTTCATTCAATAGATTACGAGGGAAATGAAATGAGGAAAGGCTAATATTAATGTCCTTACATTTGGGCCGGGTTTTCCCACTCAAAGAACGCGGGTTATAAAATATTTCAGCCATGTCATTTTGTCAAATGGTGTGTAAGGGGCAATGTACAAACAACAAAATTGTATACCTAATTTTTTGAAAAAATAAAGTTAAAAGTCTAATTTCTGAAATAATAATTTAGAAACTACAGGTAGGTGTAATTTCCTCAATAACAAATTATTATGTCTTATAATGTAGTTACTTTGGTCTATCTTTTAAAATCTTTCAGGGTCCGTTTGGTAAGACTAAACCAAAAGTTACTTCTTAAATTAAAAAGTTTTTTTTTTAAAATATGTTTTGATAATTTTTTAGAATCAATTTATGGGTTAGAAGAGTTTCTAAAATAAGCTAGCCTAAAATAACTTCCTCATGAAACTCTTTACGATAAGCATAAAACAAACCAAACGAGTACTTAGAGCATCTCAAGAGTCTTTCTAAATACATTATAATATATATTTTATAAAGTCATAAGCTGCGAATGACTCTATATTTTAACTTTTCAAATAGATTATCAAACTGAACTCAGTATCTATTCTTACTTTGAAGGGAAAATTGCAGCAGCGATCCCTAACTTCTTCATTTTTTGTGGACTTTACTCTAACCTTCATTTTGTGCCAGCGGAGGTTTCTTACTTTTCATAAATATGCATTTGAGACCCATCTGGACGGAAACCGTTCAAAAACATCGTTAATTGATTGGAAAAATTAAAGAATTAACATCCAATAAAACTGTCAAAAACATTATCCAAAAACACCATCCAACAAGGTATCAACATTAAATAAAAATTGTTGCAGTAGCCGATAGTTGAAGAAATTTTCCCGGTTAACTAATTGTGTTTTGGACGGTTTCTGTCCAGATGGATCTCAGATACATATTTATAAAAAAGTTAGAGACTTTCACTGGCACAAAGTGAAAGTTAAAGTAAAGTTTGCAAAAAATAAAATGTTAGGGATCGTTGCTGCAATTTTTCCTATTTTAAATGATAGCATTATGAGCATATCCAAAGAAACTTTGTATTTATAAAGAGTAAATTATGTATAATAAGCAAGTATTTTTCAATTAGAGAGTAAAATTTATTAAACACTTTGACATTGTTCTCTATTTTAGCTTTTCATTTCACATTTTCAAGAAATATTTATTTATTTCTCCTCATCTTTTATTTAACATTTTTTTATATGTCAATGATTAATCAGTTCAATTATGATTTGAATAATTGAAGAAGTAAAATATTGAAATTTATTACTTGAATATGTTATTTATGTAAACTTAAAAGATGCTATTCATGAATAGAGTCTCTTTAAGTTATTCTTAATTTCATTTCTTACAATCCAGAACTACACAAAGATAATTGACATAGTTAAAAAAAAAATCTATCCTATATTGTAAAATGGGATGAACCAGCATGGTACCCAATGGGATTTTATGTCGTTTTTCCTAACAAATTTGTAACCTTTTTTTTTTTACATTGGCGACCTCGGATGATGATTTTCATTTTAATTTAATTGTAGCATATAAATATTTGTCTTGTTGAGATGTGCTATCATGGATGGGCAAATGGAGTCATAAAACTTTCAACATAACGATCTAGCTCAATAAGGAAAGCAATGTTGGCCCATGCTGACCTCATCGTATGTCGCGGCAACGTTACATTCGTATCCAGAGCCGTACGGAAGAACAACGATCAAGTTGGCTTATTTGCCCTCTTCATGCTTAGAATTTCTTAATTTATCCTCCAAATAAATGGTCCATAATCCAATAGCTTCACTAGCCAATTTCATTTATGATAAGAGGAATATGCTTTTCACCCTCTTAACAAATTCTATTGCAATTCATTTCAAGAGACAATGTGCAAGCACATCATGCAAATAAGGTGCATGCAACCTACTTTTGGCGCATATCACATGCATCAAATGAATGTACATCTCAATGTTAATAAAAAGCTATTTATATGATTACAAAAGCATAAAAAAGACCCCACTACAATAAATTGATCGATGCATAAAGCGTTTGATGGCTCCCATAATTCAAATTTCCTAATAATTAGTTTCAAATAAAAAAGAGTTCACGAAGATAAATTTAACGTTGAAATTCATAATTGGTTGAGTTTGGAAGTGTTAAGATACAAAGTGGATACATAATTATTAATACTATTTATTATGTACTTAATTTTTGACATTATTCCACTCACTTCTATTTATTAGCAGTGACAGTGAATTTATTTATTCGACGTCTAGGTGTTTTATTAATTTTGTCCTTCAATTGGGCCAAGTTAATGAAATTGGATAAAATTGGACAATTTATTTATTTTTTGTTTAAATAATGGAATAGTTTGCAAATTTTGGATATTATTTAAGGAAATATAATAATGACATACAAATAAAGTCCTATATTAACAATGGAATTAATGTTGAGTGAAGCCTAGGTAGAATGTTTTTCATAAAATGGTTTTTAAGACCATTGTAGGATTGGAAATAAAAATAAATTAATTAAAAAACATTCTCAATTAATTTCTGAATTAAATCTCAATAACATAGAATTTTCGTAGCCACAAATTTTAGAAAATGACCAAACGGGAAAGGGTCCATTTCCTTAATTATGTTGTACTAGGAATGCTTGGTTTTAATGATAGGGTCCGTGAATATGCTTTGCTTTTTACAAATTACACTTTTTATGGCTAGTAATTTCGTCCATATGAGGGTATGTTTGCCAATATAGCAATCACGAGAAATTGCAAACAACATGTTGAGATAAATCTTATTAAACATTGAAAGTGGATGAGGAGATTAAGGGCATATTTGGTACTGATTCTTAAAATCAAATTTTTGATTGTTAGTAAGAAAAAGTGGGTCCCACTTGTGAGTAAAAAAGTAAAAAATACGACTGACCATATTTAAGTAACAGTCAAAAAACTAATTTTTTGGCTTGAAAAATCAAAACCAAACGGGCACTAAATCCTAAGCTACTATTACGAGTACACTATCACAAGTTGTACTTTGAACCACGAAAAAATTTGTTGTTGATATTTCCTTTCTTTATTTGTAAAATATGAATAATGATGAGCTGAAGATATCGTTGAAGTCGCCTTTTGTCTAATATTTAGACCATTGGATGAACTAATCGTATATTTAGGGCCCATTAAGCAAGGTTTTCTCAAAAATCAAAAGTTATTTCTAAGACTAAAAAACTATTTTTAAATCTGATAATTTTTTGAAAGTATTTCGTTTTATCAAAAAAGCTTAGATTAATCGATGTAAAGTAGATTCTCCAAAAAACTCTTTTACAAAAAATAAGAACCCGGTGAACAAACCCTTAAGGAGCAGGCGACTCATTCAATAAACCTGTAATCAAGCTAATTGAATCCGATGAAATACGTATAAAGTTGTCTAATCAAAACTAGAAACATGTAACGCCCTTATTTGAGTTCCATTTTTATGTTAAAATGAATTTTGTAACAATGATTGTTTGGAGAATGTGTGGTTACAAAGTAGAGAAAATTTTATATTTGCGTGTAAATTATTTTATTGATAAAATATGTGATTGATTTGGAGTACGAAAAAAAGAAATTATTTGATAATGGGATCAAACAGACTAGATACATAGAAATAATGTTGTCTTTTCCATGTGGTGGAACATGCAAACTAATTAGGGCACGTTTTATCATTGAACTACCTTTGTAACCTTAGAATTTAAAAAAGTTCGATTCTTTATTAGGACAAATGAGATCTTTAAAATATAATCAAATAAGCAACACTGCAACCATTAGACCTAAGTTTGAAGTACTTTGGAATATGCACCATCAACCACCGGCCAACCTGGCGGATTTCTCATAAATTAATCTAATTTTTTCTCTTACATGTTCTTGATGTCGGAAATATAAATTAATCCTATGATTACAAGATTACAATTAGCAAATTAATTTTTAGATTGTTTTGTTAATCCCAACATATATTTCATGGTGGACAAAGTTTTCTAGTAATATATTTTCAAAAAATAAAAAATGAAGAGCTCGATCGAATGAAAATGATTTTTCACTCAAATTCAGTGTGATCTTCTTTAACACTTGAATAAAAATGAGCATTCAATTCTTGAACTGCTCTTAAAAAGGAGTTCTACGTTACAAAAAAATCGAAAATTTAAACCCATGAAATATTATAGTATTAGATCGGCTAAAAATCGTATAGTACTTGTGGTATTGATCGTCCACCTTATTGTATGATATAACACGAAGATACTCATCTTCACATATTTATTTAAAGTTCTTTACCCTTAACATGTAACATTTCAATTATTATAAAATTATTTATAAGAAAACATGTATATTGCCTTGGCTAATTAATTTATGGGTAAGCTTTTGATAAAACTTTTAGTAGATTTCAAATAAATTAATGAAATATATATTTAAAAAGTTAATAAAAATTGTGAGTACTACAAAATATTTGATTAAAATTAATGGTTGACTTTGAATTTAAATTTTTTAAAACAATTTTTAAGCTATTTTAAATAAGTATTTAATTGTCTTTTTTTGCCACGTTGTGATAATTATGGCATTGGTTTGATGCGAATTGTTTAATTGTTCATTCCATTTGAAAAGTGACACGAATATCATTTAAGCAGTATTAGTGGACTTTAATTTTCAATCCATGTCCCATCAATTTTGTTGAATTCAACATATATGCCCCTGTTTGGCCCTCATTACGGGGAAAATTTAATGTATAGAATAGTGTTTTTTGAAAAATGAGTGGTTGAAAAAGAAAGAAAAATTTTCGATTTACGTGTAATATTATTTTATGGAAGATTGTGTGGTTGAAAATAAGAGAGAGAAAAATAGAATGTAATGTAATGTAATGTAATTTTTCTCAAACAAGGGCATAACTTTATTGACATTGACCACACCACATGATTAGCTCTAACGAACCATAATAAATAAAAGAAAAGTGAATTTGATAATTTACATTTTTTTTTAATTCTTGATGGTGATTTGTATTGCAATATTCTATCAGTGTGCTTTGAAGTAACAAATAAATGTCCCGTCACATTTTTGTATTTATATTATTTAAAGCTATGATGGTTAAATGAGCCCTTTTTTTTTTTTTTTTTAATAACGGGGAACCGCAGCCGCTATTCTTCAGGTGGACACTGGGTAAACACTTAAATTGACACAATAGCCTACAAACCACGTGAACTAGGTAAACCACACTAGACAAGTCGGTACGATAAACTCGATCGAGAAAGTGCTAATAGGAGGTATCGAACTCTTGACTAAAGAATTTCGCGTTCACCTACTCCACCATCTCTCTTATTATTCTCTCTCATCTCATGAGGGGCGAGTCTTTTTATATTATTTAATGGACTATATGGATAAAAATTATCGTTGAGAATAATATGTATTAGTTAATAAAATATTGATGTAATGAAAAAATTGAAAATATGAATGTGATTGTGGGCAAATATTAGAATTTTAACCTTTGTTTGATAGGAATTAAAATTATATTTTTAGTAAATTTTGATAAAAGTTAATAAAATGTATGGTTAAAAAATTGTGAATTTCATAAATATGTTGCTAAAATTAATTGTTGACTTCGACTTGAATATCAAACAAATGTTTAATATGATTAAAAAATCGAGCACCAACAAAAATTAATGCCGTGAATTGATTAAACAAAGGTTATCAAGGTTTTTCCTCAAACTCGGGCCAATTGAATTTGAACAACAATGTAGAAGAAGTTAACCATATTTAGGTTTTCAACTTTTAATTAAAAATCTAAAAGAGTCGAGCTAGAGTGTTCTCATTTGAGATTGTGATGTATTTTAAAAGTTATTCTAAATTTAGGTATTTTCAATTGAAATTTAATTGGATTTTAATGAAATTCATTAAAATTTAGGTATTATCAATTGAAATTTTAATGAAATCCTTTAAAATTTAGATATTCTCAATAATTAATGGATTTATAAAAATTTCATTAATAGAACAATTTTAAAAGATTTAGATGGATTTCAAGATTCAGAATACATATAAACAAATCTTTTGAAATTTCATCATACTATATAAGATTTTTATGAAATTTGTAAGAATCTGTTCAAATTAATAAAATTTATTAAAATTTATAATTTTTTAAAATTCATTAAAATTTTAGCTGTGAGCACTCCATAAATATCTGATTAATGTCGACCAAATTTTGAAAAATGAGCCGGGTCGGCTTTTTCACCTGATTGGTGGAAAATCTAGAGGGGTTCCCGGCAATTTCGGATCCTGACTCCGGTTAGTGTGAAAAAATATTTTAATGGTGAAGATCAAAACCACGTGGACAATCAGTCAGCCGTAATTGTTTAATCAGACAAATTAGGAATCTGTAGCCCTCCTTACGTCTCGCATGGATACATCAACTGTTCAATAATATCTAACGAATCAGTCAATGACAAAAATACCCTTTAACGCAACTTTCAAAACACAAAAATACTAAAATTTAACAATATTTTATTCATTTTACCAATATGGTTTTCGAAATTAATTTATAGAACATTAATTTTTAATTATAGCTGAACGTACCAGAGGGCTTTTATACTTTTAAGTAAGAAAGAATAAATTTTTTTTTTGAGATTTTATATTTTTAAATGGCTAGTTTCAACATCACTCGTCTGATTTTATTAAAAAATAAATTGTTAAATAGAATTTGATAAAAGTTAATGAATGTGAGATTGAAAATGATTTTTTTTTTTTAAATAAGGATTAAGATGGATAAATATAGACAACAATATTTTGGCCCCATTTGAAAGCGGTTTTGAGAATTGATTTTTTGACCGTTAAGAGAGAAGTGAGGATCACTTGTGATAAAAGAAGTTAAACTTGAGATAGTGAAATAACTGTCAAAAAATTAATTTTTGAGGTGAAAAATCACTCCCCAACACTCTCTTTGGTATATGTGAATCCCACGATAGCTTTACTAATTCTCAAGGGGCAATGTTCATGAACTGTGGAGTTTAAAGTATGTGATTGGGGAAATTAAAATTTGTTAAAATTATATATTGATAGAGATAAATAGTTAATAAATGTGAGGTAATTGTGAATCCCACAAAATGTATCATTAAAATTAAGAGTTATGATATACAGTCCAATTTTTGCTGTCCACCTAATCAATTATTGACACTTCATTTTAATCTAATATGTCATCAATTTAATGGATTAGTAGTGAAATTAATAAGGGTAAATTTGAGTTGACATTTTAATTTAAAAATAATTTGTCAATAATTAATTGAATGAATAACAAGTTGGAAAGCAAAAATTGAATAGTAGATTTCGACTCTAAAATTAAAAGTTGACTTTAACTTTTATATTATAATTTCATCATTATTAGAACCAAACATGTATTAAGTTTTGTATTTATTGTGGATGTGGGGCCTTCAAGTTTTTTTATTTTTTTATTGTACTTTGTTTATTCATCTCTAGTATTTAAAATATCAATAATAGTATTGAGAAATTTTCTTTTTTAAATTTTCGCTATTAACCAATGATGATTATTAAATATTGTAATTTGTAATTTTTCAGTATATATTCTTTAAATAATATAATTTTTACATGAAAGTATTTTCCTACATAATTAATAGGCAAGAAATATGGTTAAAATTTAAAAACGGAATTCTGTTTTTTTACACAATATATAAAAATGGTAAAATAAAAAAGGGCATAATAGACAATTTGAATGCAATAATACAGATCTGCAAACCGACAAATTAGGAGGTCGGCAATTGTCGGCCGGTGAATCGGGGAGACAATATCGGGCTTTAAAATTTCATCCATCACTCTAAAATTATTAATTAATTTAATTTAAAAATCAATAATTTAAAATTAACCGCCCAAGTTCCTGTCTCAATTTTTATTCCCACTCCAATAAAATATTATTTCAAATATTCCTTTACATTTTACACACCGTCTCCTCTCCTCCTCTATAATCTCAAATCCCCCTCCTCTCTCTCCTACTTTCTCTCTAAATTCTGTTGATTCAAAATAACAATAGTGGAATCATATGAGAAGAATTGATGAATAGGAATTGTAATGTTATAGTTTTTCTGAATTTCAGTTATGGTTTTGGGTTTGTGTGTTGTTATTAATGAAACCTCCTTGGATTGAATTGATTACGGTAAGTTGGAATCCTAAACAGTTAGCTGAAATCTTTTTATTGCATATGATTGTGTTTTTGTTTATAATTTAGAGCCTTACCGATCTGCCATTTAATTGGCAAATTACACATCTTGATTATTTTTTTTATTTTTCTGGCTTATAGATATTCCGATATCAAAGAACTCCATTTAGTTTTTAAAATGCAAATTTTTCTTTTAATTGCTGAGTTTTGCATTATTTATTGTTAAGTTTGAAATTTTTTAATATTATTGGACGAAATGTTAGACTCGTAAGGTATGTTTTCCTTGTTTCTAAGTTATTTGGAAGAAGAATTTTGAATTGATTGGTTATTGTTTATTTAAATTCGTTCCATTTGTTAAATTGATATGGCGACTCTAGTAATGATTATAGCCATTATGATTAGATAGTAATCAGATTGTTCTTTTTGTTTGCAGCGATAATTTTTTACATTTTCCATGTTCCAGGTTACATAAAGTAGTGCTGTTGCTTTCCACGTTGATAATAATTATGGACATCTCTGAAGTTGAAGATCATTTAGTTTCAATTGGCGAGCCGAAGGTGTGGCACATAAATGCCAGTGTTTATTCCACTGCTTTTGTTTGCTGAATGTTTTTCTTAGAATTACTATTTTTCAACTTAGTGGATTGTTCAATAGCTGGGCGTGTGGATGCGGGCAGTTGTTGCATGTGTTATTAATTATGCTTTTTACTAACATATTTGATGTTTGAATTTGACTAAGTGGTATAGTTGTAACATATAGGAATTTGTATAAATACTTGAAGTTTATTCTGAATTCAAACCGAATTCATGACATTAGAATCATGGGGCCTCAATTTTGCCAATTTCTTTTTCTTATGCATGATTTTGTTGGTTGTTTTGCATATATTACTGGAATGTATAACGAGTAAGTTTTGTAAGTTTCTGATTGTTTATTCTAGAGTGATTGACAAAGATGTGGTTGTTAGTGCAGTTGCATGGTGGAATGGGTAAGAGCCTATGTTCTGTATATGTGAAAGCGTTGGCAATATTTCCTGATATAGAAGCAGCTCGGCCTAGAAGCACATCAGGTATTCAGGCATTATGTGCTTTGCACATAGCACTTGAGAAGGCCAAGAATCTTCTTCAACACTGCTCAGAATGCAGTAAACTTTACTTGGTATAACTGTTCATTCATTTTTCTTGTTTCTCTGTGCATGTGGGGAGAATGACTTTCTCATTAAGGATTTTTGCCATCTACAAATCGCGTTTATCAATTAAAATTTACTCAAATCATCAAAGTCCTAATATACCATGGCTTTAAAAGGATCTTCCATCATCTGAATGCAGCTTGTACAATTTAATACTTTCACGCAGAAGTTTGTCTCTAACCTATATAGGTGTTAGATGGATATATATAAAGTTCTCTTACTTGTACATATGTGTGTGGCAAGTATTTAAACTAATTGAGGGTATCTACTTTTGAGATTCGATGCATTTTGGAAGCATCCATTTTATTATTCCTCCTCTTTCTCTCTCTTTCACTTCATCCACATGTATGTTTAATGTTAAAATGCATCATTGTTGTCAGGCTATAACTGGAGAATCTATTGTTTTGAAATTTGAGAAAGCGAGATGTGCCCTTGAAGATAGTTTGAGGCTTGTTGAAAATATCGTTCCACAAGTTATTGGTTCTCAGGTATTGCCATCTTTTGCTCGTTTGGGCACTACTCTTGATCCAAGAAATTTAATCTCGATGAGAGTAGTATTTAAATTTTTTGTCCAGTTTTTGGCAGCCTAACTAAACTTCTCTAATTGCTAGTTTCTTTCTCTTGAGGTACAACTATCATAATTTTGGAATGAAATGTAGTATTCATGTGTTGCTGAGATTCACATTTGACAATAACAGAAGACAAAATATAATGGACACGCTGTTGCTTGGTATGATGGGAGAGACAGTTGCATCTTTAATTGTTAATTAAATGTTTTATGTCTGCTCCATTCTTGCTGTTGTCCTGTTTAAGCTGCTAATATTTAACAATTTGTCACCGTAAAGAATACTTGTTGATGCTTCATACTGTATTTTGACCAGAAATTAAGTTAATGTGATAAAGCTTTTTCCTGCTTTTGTATTTTGTTCATTTTCAAGAAATTTATGTTTAATAAATTTTATGTTGCTTGAGAATTATTCCAAGACTAATTATGCTTCTCTTGCTTCAGATTGAGGAAATTTTGGGTGAACTTCAGGGGATTGTGTTCTCACTTGATCCGACGGAAAAACAAATTGGTGATGAGATCATTGCATTGCTCCAGCAAGGGAGAAACTTCAGCAACAATGGCAGTGACAACAATGAGCTTGATTCTTTTCACCAGGCTGTTTCGAGACTTTGTATTACCTCTTCAAGAGCAGCACTTAGAGAGAGAAGGGCTCTGAAGAAACTCATAGAAAGAGCCCGAGCTGAGGAAGACAAAAGAAAGGAGTCAATCATTGCTTATCTTCTGCATCTTATGAGAAAGTACTCGAAGTTGTTCAGAAGTGAGTTCTCAGATGACAATGATTCACAGGGTTCAACACCTTGTTCACCCACTATCCAGGGATCTTTTAAGGAAGGTGGCAGCCTTGCACGCAATGGTTTTCCTTTTGAAAGGCAACTTTCAAAACTTAGTTCTTTCAATTTCAAATCGAACTTCCGGAGATCAGAGCAGATGCATGTCCCCCCTGAAGAGTTAAGGTGTCCCATATCATTGCAACTTATGTATGACCCTGTCATTATCGCTTCTGGACAAACATATGAAAGGGTCTGTATAGAGAAATGGTTCAGCGATGGGCACAATACTTGTCCAAAAACTCAACAGCAACTCCCTCACCTTTCTTTGACTCCCAATTACTGTGTTAAGGGTTTGGTGGCTAGTTGGTGTGAACAGAATGGGATTCCCATTCCAGATGGCCCACCACAGTCACTTGATCTCAACTATTGGAGGCTAGCGTTGTCTGAAAGTGATTATGCAAATTCAAAGTCTTCAGAAAGTGTTGGGTTGTGCAAGTACAAGGGTGCTAAGGTGGTCCCTTTGAATGATAGTCCTATTAATGAGGAGGCTGAAAGAAATGAAGTAGAAGATGTTTCTGCAAACGAGGATGAGTGCCAGGTTAATCCCTTTGAACAATATGATAATTTTTTGACTGTCTTAGACAAGGAGGATGATTTGAGGAAGAAGTGCAAAGTGGTAGAACAGATAAGGCACTTGCTAAAAGATGATGAAGAAGCCAGAATTTATATGGGGGCTAATGGCTTTGTCGAAGCATTGCTGCGGTTTTTGGAGTCTGCTGTCCGTGCAAGGAATGGGATTGCTCAGGAAACAGGAGCAATGGCTCTCTTCAATCTTGCTGTGAACAATAATAGGTTTGCTCTTGTACATTTATACAGACGCTCTTCCATCATGGAGATCTCATTATAGTTCATATTGATATATTTAATATCGCTTAGCTTGCTGATTCTTTATTTCATATAATTTATATAAATCCATATAATTATTATATTTCCTGATGTTACTATCTGTCTCACGAATTCTGAAAACCTGTTTTACATTAAAAGGAAGCTAGTTACACTTATCATTAACATTGAGAAATATCTTTAGTGTTTGGCTTATGTCTCCTAGTGTCATCTTTTCTATTGGTCTGATATATATTCAGTTTTTATATTCCACTTGTAACTTTGATGTTGAGACCTCACACTTGGAACCATACTGATAAGATGCTCATAGCAAGTTATTGACACTTGAACTGAGCTTTGTAGCTGATACAACAAATTTGAGTCTTTTTGGTGCAAATTATATTCTTGTATCTTAGCATCAAGGGTAGAGCCAGAAGTGTTAATTGGGCTAATATGTATGCACCCGATAGTTGTTGATGAAAGCTTTTTATCCTTCAAGCTTCTGCTTCAGAGGTTTCAATGACATTGTTTTACAAGTGAACTTTGCTTATGGGTGTTTAAACCATTTATTTGTCTAAGATAATTGCAATTGATTTCATATTAAATTTAGTTGAAGTGAAATAGTTTTATTTATCCGAAGAGTATTCTACTATTCTACATGCTTACTTTTTACATTATTTAGAGCACACGTGTATAGTAATGTGTGGTTGAAAATAAATAAATAAAAGAATGGTTGTGGTGTTGTCATTACTTTTTTGCTCTAATTTCTATAAAAGAAACAATTTTTTAAACATAATTTAAGAAAAATTCTTACAGCTTGTCTGGGAGTGATTTTTCACTCCAAAAAATTAATTTTTTGACTGTTATTTCACTATTTCGACTATAAAGTTTGTCTTCTTCTCTCACAAGTAGCCCCTACTTTCTCCTAATGATTACAAAATCACTCTCAAACGGAGCTTTAGTCTAAGTAATTTGACTTTCTCAGGCTAATATGTAAATAGATTGTTGAATTAAATATAAATAAATAAAAATATTTCGAGAATGTACCAAGAAGCCCGTCTAGCTCAGTCGGTAGAGCGCAAGGCTCTTAACCTTGTGGTCGTGGGTTCGAGCCCCACGGTGGGCGTTTCTACACCTTTTTGCTTTATTTTTTCTCTGCTCTGTTTCCATCTTTTAAATTACAGGAAATACAAGGATCAAAACTAGGAGCAATATTTTGAGACCATAAAGCTAATCAAATATCATAAACATATTCGAATTTTGGATCATTCTTATGATGTAAAAATCGTTCAATGATGATCATACACTAATTCTTCAGAAATCTTTGCTTGGGTTACTTTCACCTAAATTTCAAGCCTATTTTATCTCCTTCACTAATTCTACTAATTATATATGATTGAGATCGAAATAAGGACAGCCTTGTTATCATATTATCCAGTCTTGTATTTTACTACGTACAAGCATTCAAAATTTGAATGCGGGCATCAGGTTCTTCGACTATGGTTCCACTTTTGCAGTCAATTCAATTCAAGGGCCAGCTTGCCTCGAATAGTTCCATAATTTTTTATCTTCAAGTATGCTTTCTTCCTAACTTTTTCTTTGCATCTTTCTCCCAGCCAAACTCTTTCAGGGCATCAATTTCTTTATTTTCTGTGTTTTCATTCAACCCCTTCTCAAGAATTTCTTTGTAACTGCACTTCAAATTATTGGACTTGCCCTTTTCGTCTGCTGACTTTGCCTCATCTTGTGATAAAACAGACAATGGAGATGAAGTTGCTGACTCAAATGAAGAAGTACAAGGAGATTCATCAGGACAATTTGCTTCCTCGACTGTTTTATTCCGTTGTTCTGAAGTGTCTGCTATTAGTAACAATCTTTTAACATCTTCGGTTTGCACAGCATTTGAAGGTTCTTGTGAATAATCTACAAGGTAACAATCTGTTGATTCTGATTTGCTGCGATTCATATCAATCGTGATCTCCTTCTCCCTTGTGTTATCCTTCGATCCCCAATGAGTTAGCATGTTGATAAGAAAAGTTAACCATGATATGAGCCGGAGCATAACCCAGTCTAGAAGAGGAAATCTGTGGATAAGTACAGGGAACGAGTTCAAAACATTGTCGAACTTCTCTGGTAGACATTCTGCAGTGTAGACAAGATCGTCAATCTTGTTAAACAAACGTTTGGATGGTGGGAAAATGAGTTCCAGAATGTTTTCAATAGCGAGAATACGATCATCAATGAAGGAGAGGCTTACTAGCCACTGATATTGCATTGCATATATTAAAGGCAACGCCGAATTGATCAATGGTGTTATCCTTTTCGCCAATGGTGTTATCCTTTTCGCCATTGATCCTATAGGGCTATCAGAGTCTTGTGCTTTTGTGCATACTATGTGGGCAGTTGCTAAAATTGATGCCCCGCATATCTGTAATGGACGACGCCTAGTTGTTTCTCCGGTGGCTTCTGTTGAATCCTGAACAATTGAAACCAATCGAATGACTCCCTCAAAAACCATAGACTAGATGTTAATGGACAATATTAAGAAAGATAAAATAAGTTAAAATCTTATCTATTGTAATTTTATCCAATACTGCGCACCAAATATGTTATGAATTAATTGATTTCAAACTTGAATGCATGCATCGGCGGAGCCAGCACCCAGGAAGGCATGGTGGCCGGCCAATGCTAGCTCCGACGGATTTTTTTCCGATATATTGGTAATTAGGCACAAGCTCAACGGTCCAGATGGATCCGTCCTAACTCAGATGAATTCCTATGTCCATCACGATTATGCATACGTGCATTGAATAGTACAGAAATGGCCATGGATCTATCTAGAATTTTAAAGGAGCAGAAGAGAAATCTAATAGAAAATGCATGGATGAAGGGAAAAATGATTAACCTCAGAGCTAAAATTGATTAAAATAGCAAAATAAGAGATTATTTCGTAGTAAAAATAATCAATTTTCAGCAAAAGAAATACCATATTCAAGGGGAAAACTCCAGATTTCAAGATTATTCTAAGAATCCACCACATGAAGATAAATACAAGTGCCAGCGGAGTATCTGATTGATAAATTCATGGGTAGTTCATTCGATTCATGTTTATGAAGAAAAAATAGAGAACGAAATTGAAATTCGCGACGACCTATAAATTTGAAGGTAATTTGTTATGGTATGGTCGTGGGGGTGGGGGTGAACAAGCTACGCCATACCGTTAAAGTCGTTAATGGAGGTTAATTGGCCTGTGACAATCCTTCTGTACCATTTCCTCCAGTTTTCTCCAGTTTCCTACAAATCACGACTTCAATATAGAATCTCTATATTTATAACAAATTTATTAATATCATTTCAATATCCACACTAGTTTTTCATTTGTTAAGTGAACGGAATTTAATGATTGAAACAAAAATATAAATTAAGTGATCTACAAAATTAAGTTCAATAAACCACTTAAAATTGAACCATAACATAAATTCAGTACAAGAAAGTATTACAGATATAAAAAAACAAAAAAATCAAAATCTTATCTATTATACTATTGAGTCGAGTTTAATTTCACAAGGAACACCGCCATGTTTAAGTGAACTGTTGAGTTGGGCAGTCTCAAAAGCCTTTGTGTTTATGTAGAATAGAGACATATGGCTATACATGTAAAACATAATCCAAGAAGGTTGCAACCCTTCCTTTTGTCACAAGAAGTCATTAACAGTAGTAACGTGCCTTGTCCATCAAGCAACTCAAGTTAAGACTCCAAAAGGGAATTCTGAATTTGTTACTGCTCACAATCTTCCCAACTTTCCCGGAGTAGCTGATACCGAAGAACATTTCTGCCACCCTTTCGTTGTGGCATTGAGCTGAGTTTTGCTAAAGCAGAGGAACTCTGAAAGCTATCAGGAATGAATGAAGTCAAGGGTGAGTCGAGCTCATTGAGTTCATCATCACTTGTATATGATTTTTTGAGTATTAATGATCCGCTTCTTTGGAGGAATCCGGTTCCAACCTCGCCCATAACAGAATTGAGCGAAGCTGCTGGAGGTGGTGAGTAAACTGTAGGACTTGCAGTGAACGGATAGCTGGTGAGTGACTCTACAGAAGCATCCGGGATTTCCTTCATCAAGAAAAACAATGTAAAACAATGTCATACACAATAATACAGAAAACCATTTACGATCATATAGTACTAAGTAGCCACGTGCATATTCGACTTTCTTTCAAGTTATTGATAATATCTATAAAGTTCTTTGCTTGTTTGATATCTGTTTATATTGGTCAAAACACTTTTTACTTACATATTTTGTGGGATCCACGAGTACTAATCACTTATCGACAACTTATATATATTTATAATTTAAACCGATTATAAACAACTACCAAACATGCTTAGTTATGGAGGACCAACCTCAGAATCCAGAGACTCAATGATGTTCTGTGGAATGGGGTCTGGACAGAATTCGTCTGGAACAAAATTACTAAAAACCCTCTTGATCAATGTTGGATCAAATGTTGGGCAAACCTTCAAACAAGAAAATCAAGAACTATGAATAAGAAACAAAATGGAATACATGTGTAGTACGAAAGATTGCTTTAGAGGATAAACTATTCTATTTAGCAATGACTCGCCTCTTTTCTGATGGAAGCATCAGCTAGCATTCCGAATGGAAGCATCATGAGGTCACTCAAACTATGGAGGAGACGGAATGCCTTGAAGGATTTTTGTCTCTTGTCATCACCAAGAAAATTATTATCCACAGGTACATCATCTTCTATGCCAAAAAGATCAGTAAGCCATCTGGACCAATTGCCTATCTACCAGCATGGAAAAAGAAATTAAGAACCATGATACATGAGTAGTCAAGGCGAGTTTCTGGTTAAATGGTCATTTCTAGAATTTATGATTTCAACTTCAAAGATTGCTAGTTTAAAACCCAAAAGAAAGTAAAAGGTGAATAATACTTTATAGTCGAAATATTTTAAGAGAAACAAGGTTGTTAAAAAAATTTCTAGTGTTGGATGGATTTTGTTAAAAGTTAAAGGAAGAAGCCACACTGTTGAACAATAAAACCAGAAAGGGATCATTCAGGATAGAAAAATAGAAATAAGAAGAGAAATTATAACATGGACTATTTAGAAGGAAGCATGGTCACCTTCATTATTTTTAAAATAAAGTATTTTTTGCCATCGCATTATTCAAGGAATTTTTTTGCATCCAGCGCAATTATGTAGAATATGGTTCCAGAAACTAATACCAGCAGATCCACTAGTTCTGGGGGATGTTCTTGATTAAATACTCGAGAATGGGTATATATAAACTATAACCAGGACTTACCAAAAACCTAGAAGAAAAATATATCCATCATGTTTGAAAATAAAGACTGGTGTCTGGCATAAGACATAATATTTCGTAAAAAATTCTTCCGTACTTACAGCATTTTTTAATTGCGCACCAGCACCGAAGCTTGATTTTCCAGCAGGAATGGGGAGAACCTTAGAATCAGTAATAGGATCAGATACAGGATCTGTTGGCATTTCTTCAGCAGATTCACGAAGAATGGCATTGAACATTGCCACATCCAGCCTATCAACTAACTGCTCCATTACCTTAAAAAACACAGGAAGAAAGTATTAACATGCTATATTTAGCAATAGCATGCATTTAATAACCAGTTCAGCTGTAAAAATGACAGAGTTTCAGGTGAAAAAAGGCACAAGATCTCACTTCACATAAAAAAAATTGTGGGACGTTACTAAATCCAATATGTGTTCTTTGAGCTTTCTTTTGAAAGCCATGTTCTTGAAGACCAAAATGATTTGACTCTCGGTTCAAATTTTAGTGCACATTTGGTGAGCAGTGGTAGATGGGACAGGACAATAAAGTGAGCTAGATTTTAGCTTCTATCAGTGCTATTGCGATTAGAGTACATCCATATCTAAAGAAGAAATGGCTTTTGCTTTGAGCATTCTTTTATATCTGGACATACCAGTCTTGACAGCACAGACAAGCAGCCACAGTCATGCCCTCCTGCTCGAATTGGACAAAGCCTTTCACAAGCATCTTTAAATGCTTTTTTCCATAATTCCATAGAGAAATTTCCCTGCTCGTGATTCCCCAAATTATGTCCTCTTCTATATGTTTTTTTTGTACTTGAGCCTGTAGTTCTACCACTAGTTTTTGCAACTATTGGCTGCATATGTGGAGTAAAAGTCTGCAGAGGACAAAACAAGAATGACCTCATCTTTAATCTAAGAATCTATTTAACAAAATAAGAACTAGAGAACTGAAATAGAACCTGCCACCAAATAGACTCGACAATTCTAGAGAAGATCCAAGATTCAATCTTTTCCAGTGCAATAAAGAACATCAATATATCCTCCCAGTCGTCAGATTCTTCAATTGATTTATTCTTCTCTTTCTCTATCCCCGAGTTATCAAGAAATCTAAAAGTCAATCCAGGGTCAGTGCCATTACTTTTTATGCCTGATCCATCGGTACATGGCATTTCTGCAGCAGTCTGGCTAACAATGGCTCTCAACATTATTGAATTTGACAACCAGAAGGTCAACCTACAAAAAAATACTGCTCGTAATGGAGTCATTATTTGGAAGAGGATTTCTAAGAAGCGTTACTACAAAATAAACTAAGGGACAGATAATTGCTAATTCTGCACAGCATGACTTACTTCACTAACTCCTATGCAAGTGCAGGAACAGACATTTACCTTGGAACATCATTTCCACACGCTTTAGAAACCAAAACTAACCCAGACAAAGCAGCTCTTGCAGCACTTGCCCGTTTAGCTTGGGATTCTGCTCTGCAAGCATGAAGATAAAATCTGGAAAGTCGTCGAGCTGGAGCATGGACTTTATTACTAGAACTTGTGTGCTCAGCAATTATAGAATATAATCCAACTTCAACAGCTGCAGTTTCTCTCAGTTCCTCCTCAAGCATCTCAATTCTAGACTTCCATTCATTTTTACTTTCAGAAAGTTTATTTTTTGGTTTTGTTCTTTCAATTGTGGCATTACCTTTCCTGTTATTTTGAGAGTCTGGAATATCAAGATCCGTTTCTTTTGTCCCAACTGCACTGTTGCCTACAAATCCATTCCCTTTAATGGAGCTATGTATCTGGGCAGACTTTGCATGCTTTAATCGAGCATTGTTAGTTCTAGATCCCATAATTCCTTGTCCTTCCCTATTGGGAACAAGAGTATCACTTCTCATTGTCACCTGCCTGCCTCCAGCTTCTTCCACTAATTTGATATCTGTGAAATGCAAAATCTCTTCCTTGATCTTTTCATCACTTCCATTATTTATTTGTTCCCTTTTCACTCCTTCATTCGCCAGACCATTTTGTCCATCATTTATCGCTCTAGCTTCTTGTTCCACTATCTTTTCCTGAGAGGCATAAGAGCGATTGACAGACTTTGAGTCAAAATTGGTCTGTGTAGAGTTATCAGATGACGTCAATTTATCAGAGGGATCAACTTTTACAGACTGTTGAGTGATTTCACTAATTTTAGCTTTGCTTTTAGCAATCTCTTCATTGGCATCATGGGTAACACTTCCTGTCTGAAGAGTTCCCACGCGGTAGCTGGACTTCCTATTTATATCTTGGAAACCTATGAATGAGGGAGAAGATTTTATGGAAGGGGTAACAGAGTTCCTCTTGACAGATGTCATGCTTCTTTCAGAAAATTTGGATAAAGAAGTGTAATTTTGTATATGGTTTCCAGAATCTGAAGATACATCAATTGATGAAGGCCATATACTCCTGATTGGCTCTTGAGTAGGGTCAGTCACAGCATTTAGCAATCCAGTCCCATTCTGCATTTAGTGGCAAATAGATATTACACAGTACATGTACTCATAGAGGGAGTGAAAGATTATAGAAAATTTAAAATTAAGAAATTTCTAAATTCAATTGGCTAATCCATATGAACTATATTATGTTTGAAAATAAGCAAAAAATCGACAATTGAGCAAATGCAATTACCTTCTCGTTTTGGGAAGGTGAAGCTGTTGTGGCCTCAAAGGTTGATGATACAGCAGTCCTTGACGAATGGGAAGAAGTATCATCATCAGTAAATGAGGTGATTTCTGAGTCATTATCATCATTGTCTAGGGATGCTGCTTTTGATAAGCGACTACTAGGTGATGAATTCGAGCCATCTTT